AAATACACCAATACTCAAAACATGGTCGAAGAATGTTTCTGCCATGTCTTATTATTTTCAATAAATTATCAGCCTTTATAAATGAAGATACTGATATATCAGCAAAAGGTTAATATCAGCCAATAATACTGGCCTGCAGAGAAATCGCTTGTAATATATGAGATCTGTAGAACTGTAATAAGATTAACTCTTATGCCCTAATTGGGCATTATTGTACTTTTTTTCAACTTAAAAAAATAAAATTGGTGATCAATTTGGGCAATAAATTTTCTTTTAAGTAAGTTTTTGTCTTTTACTCTTACTTGTCATCCATACTCTCTCGATACTATATATTACATGGAAAATATCTGGGTTTTTGTGAGTTTTTAAAAACAAATAATTAATAATTCAACTGTTTAAAATCCTGAAAATAATTTAATGTTTGATCATTTTGAAAAGGGCTCGAGATGATTAAGTTATTTATGAAAAAAAGAAGCAAAAAACAATATTGTTGTAGGAGGAGGGCACAAGAGCTCAGCACGTGATACTGACTGGAAGCAACACAGCTGCTGTTGACAAAGCAGCAGAGTCAGATATGAATGTGTATTAAATTCATCGTGTAAATATACCAGATTTATCCACATACGCTAGTTTTCATCATATCTTCATGATCTCCAGTAATGTTACACCACAGTGCTTTCATTTGAACCCCAAGTGTCACCGTCTTTGAAAAATTACAGAGTATAATGCATCTATTTTGCAAAAATAAATAATTACATAAAGACTTTCAAACGGGTACCCTGTTTTTCCCTTCGTAACAACCGAACTATTGTACAAATAGAGATAATATAATGATCTGAGAAACAATTGTCAATAAGCAGAGAAGTTATTTAAATATTAATGCAAGACATGGAAGCAGGTGGTGTTGTTCCTAAATTAGGAACAATATTTTTAAATTACTTCACAATTCTTCTTGCACTTCATATTGTTACAAACTATCAGAATATAAAGAAAGTCAGAAAATGGACAACCTCAGCTTATAAAACTAATTTTTTTTAACCACAAACCACTGGATCAATTTCAAGGGTTTTCCACTTGATTTTTATTTTATCATAAAACACTGCAGAGATGCAAAGAAATAATCATTATAACAGTGTGCAACTACTCCACGTTATACTGTGTCCAAGCTATAGACGTCTCTGAAGCGACACCCTGTCATCCATTCATCCAAGAGATGTAACCAAGATACTGCCTCTATTAGTTAATTATTAGATAATCATTTTTGAAAAATAATCTTTAACATCAGATTAATTTCAGATTTTTAATGTCAGATTTTACACGGTCAGGTGTAGCAGAGGTTAACTCGGAAACTTAAACTTTAATTCAAAATTTCTTTTAAATAAATTTCAAATGATCATGATAAAGGGAATGTATGCAGTTTTGGTGCTCGGTGCTGAACAGCGTGGCTGACTCTTTGTATCTGCTATTGCTTCACAGTCCGAGTCCAAACAGGTAATGAGCCATTGCAAGCTGACCAATTATGGAGTCCACCGCCAGCTCACGCTTTTTTGAGGTTATGTCAAAAGGTTTCTTGTTTAGGCAGTCTGTGTCAATGGGCTCAGTCAGTGGTCACGTTGTCTTATTACAATGAACACATGCAGTGTAGTTTATTTTGAGTTAATCCAGCCTTCTACCTGCAAGAAATCTTTAGTGCAGTATGTAATCTGCTTCTGAAAATGGCTCCCAGCAAGAAGAATTTCTTCTTTCAGCTCTAATCCGTGAAAAAAAGACAAAAAATACTTGGTTGGTCTGTTCATTGTCACCGCTCTGGTGTCAGGTGTACATGATTGGAGATTTGGGGTTGGGTTCTCTGCTCATTCATCATTGCAGATTTTAGTTAGATTTGTTTGTCCCTGGGAACTGTGGGAACCTTAAATTACATTTTGGATGTAAACAAAAAGAAGAGCGTGAAGGGGTGTGAAGAAAAACAGATTTTAAACTTCTTCTTTTTTCTTTTTTTTAACTGGACTCTGGTGCCATCCTGTGGCTGCTATGAAACAAAAGTGAAGTAATGAAAATAAAAAGTGTTCTCAGATTAAGTCTGTTCTCTGTGGCATGTTTTTTTTAATGGTTTCTACAGTGTGAGTTAATGAAAGGAGGATGTTGAAGCAGCTTCGCCTTTACATAAGCTGCTAATTGGAGCCAAACATTATCCCTGTGACAGTCCAGGTTTGTGGTGGTAAAAACTCTGAAAACTAAAGAATTTTTAAGGCAGTCCTTCTACATAATCCTATAACTGTGTGCTAATCCAGTCTTTCCCAAACTTAGGAATGTATTTAATCACAACTGAGTATGAATTCTGCTTGTGTGAAGTCTTCTGGTAGCTTGCTTGTCACTGAGGTGCTTTAATCTTGCCTTTTTATACCTCAGTCAGTCATAGATCAGGTACAGGGAGTGGACTGAAAATGAGTGAAAAAGCAGCCAGTGTCCATCTCCAGCTGGTGCAGAGAGCAACATATCACACGTATTCCTGCTGCCCTTCACTGTTTTCAGTGAAATTCAGAGGCCACTTTAAAATCCTGTTATTATCATCAAAGCTCTGCATCAGGGGTGGGCAACTCCAGGCCTCAAGGGCCGGTGTCCTGCAGGTTTTAGATGTGTCCTTGATCCAACACAGCTGATTAAATGACTTCATTAACCTGTCTTGAAGTTTTCCAAGACAGGTTAATGAAGCCTGGTAATGAACTGCTCATTTGATTCAGGTGTGTTGACCCAGGGTGAGATCTAAAACCTGCAGGACACCGGCCCTTAAGGCCTGGAGTTCCCCGGGGTGAGGATGTAAGCAGGGGCTGCTTACATGGACAGGACCCTGCTTATATCAGACCTTCTGAGCAGGCCTTTCTCATCCTCCCCATATGGAAAAGATATATATAAATCTTATAAAGTTTTTATCTGTCTTGTATGAAACTTGTATGAAAAGCATACAAGAGTGAAAACACATATAAGATCCCTTGAAAAATTATATTATGAAACTTGTATGTTTTGTATACTTACTAAAAAATATATGAAAGTAATGAGAAAGTGTCCACTTTCATGAGTAAATCATATATGTTTTTACTATTTCTTTTCCATATGGGCTATGGTCTCCCAACTGTTCCTCACTCTGACTTTAAAACCAGAGACAATCCTATTTTTGAGGTTGCTGAGAAAAATCACTTGAACAACCTCTAAAACCTGTACAACCCATAAAAACAACCTATAAAAACTCAGCCAGGCTGATGTTTGACAGGTTAGCTTTCCCTTAATCTTCTCCCCTTTATTTTGAGCCATAGATTGCATCTATTTGCATGTATCGAAGTGTCTTTGTGAAAATGATTATGTGTCTATAACTTAACTTTAATGTGTGGCTTTTATTCAAATTTAGATGCACTTTGTAACTCTGTCTTTTAAAAGGCGCCGCAAAGACCTCGTGAAAACCTGGAAAAATGTTGCTCAAGACCACTTTAGCAAAATTACAAGAAAGTTTGACTTTTTAGGAGTAAAATATAAAGAAAAGGGGAGTGACTCACCGTGTCTTTGATCTAAATGTACAATATAAAACCCAGCAATTCATTTTTGACCCCAGTCAGGACATAAGTCTGAGACCTCTGCGTTAACCACCATTAATGCAATCTACATGACTCGTTCTGCACTGTCGAGGGGACATCCTGCCTTTTCTATTGATGACAGGTTTGTGGGGGCTGAGCTAATACAGCTAACATTGATTTAGTAGGATTTCAGAAATGCACAGTTACTTTTATTCCTTTGTAGTGGGCAGCAGGACACATTTTCAGATTTTGAGCCGTACTTCGGGAAGCAGGAGGCAGGATGAAGCAGAACCGTGGAAGGGGAGTCAGTCTTACTGCTGTCGTGGGATGAGGTGGAGGAAGGACAGACATCAGAGCAGGAAGCTGAAAGCTCAGTGTGGTTCCTCAGCTTTTGAGGAACCACACAAACACACACACACACACACAAAGCTGCCAATGAAAGATGATTCCAGGCTGGTGTCCTGTATTGCGGTCAAAACCAAATCCCAGAGCTTCGGAGCCCGAGCTTACGTAATGCTTCTTATCCAAGATGGACTTTGGGTATCGTCACTTTGCCCGTACTCAGGCTCTTCAAAGCCAGCATGTCCTCCACTGAACTTTCACCTTCTTGCTCTCATGTCTGGCCCCTCCTCCTCATCATCTCTCGACAGCTCGAGTTTTAACTTCACTTCCAAATTCTGCGTGAACTCCTTTCTGTCTCACTCAGCCATCTAATCATATTTATGACAGATGTGCCCACTTCATGGGACAGAAGATAATGAATAAATAACAAATTTGAAAAAGAAATGATCCAGCATGTTTCTTTGGGGGAAAAAATCTGAATGTAAAAACAATTTTTTTTCTGTGTCTCAGGACATAAAAGATCTGACCCTGACAAGGATCTTTTTCCTTTTTTGTGCTTTTTAACATTTAATAATGCAGTATTTTAATTCAATGTATTTTTCTTTTCTTTTCTTTAAATTTACAAATAACATCTTGCACCTGAAGTACCTTCAGTGACCACCAGGGGACGGCAGCTCACATAAACACGAGTTTAAACAATTGCTCAAATTATTCCTCAGCAACTATTCGGCTTGCAGATTTATTGTTTGCATAACTGTTTTCGGAAAGATTGTTTAGTATTAATTTTTAAATAATTTTTCTTCCCAAATTATGTTTAGATTCTTCTATCCCTTGTATATCTTTGGGTTTTATATTGTCAATTGAACTTCCAATAGTTACCAGCATCATTGTCTCTCTGTGCTCATGTTGGCAACTTGAGCTCCAAGGTGGATGCCTTTTGATTTAAACCCCTTAAACATTTCTTATTTCCTTTAAAATCTAATTAAAAACCATTTTAGAGCTGAGGAATTAGGAAATCCTAAGTTAAAGTTGAAGCTTAACTTTACTCATGTCCTAGTTTGTGTATGTGTCTGTATTTGTATCACCACATACCTGATTCGAGGTTCACGTCTTCAGCTTGACTGCAGGTAAGATGAGAGGAACAGTGACTGGAGGATGAAAAGAGGGCGGGTAGCACAGATGGAAAAGCAGATGGGAGTTTCTCAGTGGAACAAAAAGAAAAGATCATGTGAAGCGAAGGGGCTCCTTTCATCCTTGTATCTTAAATTAAGTTTTAGCCCAGTAGAGTGAGCACATTCCCCCTGTTTCACCCAGCAGTCCCCCAACAGCTGTTTAAAGGTTCAGGTTGAGACTTTGGTGAGGATAAAGTTAGGCAGGGCTGTGTAGTAACTGCAGAGCATATCAGTGAGGGTCCTCACATGTGAGGATGTGTGATATGTATCGGTACATGACACAGGTTCAAAGTTAGGCAGGGCTGAGCTGTTATAATTTTTCGTAATTAAGATTTATTTGATGACTTGGCACAAAATCAAGAATTTAAAAAAAGCATATTGTGCTTTTACACTATCTTCCATTCCTTCTGCACAAAGATGCAGAGACCAATGATGGTGCTGGACGATGCCCTTCAACAGCCATGCTAAAGCCCACATCCTGGTATGTCCTCCACACTCTTGAGACTGTGACATCCTGGACAAGCTGGACTGTCTGTGCAATGTCAATGAGCTGCAGCTAGCGTCTCCTGTTACTAATACTAACAACAGTAGCAAAAAAGGAAAACTAGAGACGTATCAGTCGGGAGGGATGAGGAGGGAGCAATAGTCTGTGGTCACTGCCTCCTAAATCATTTTCTTTTTGGGGGGTTTGGCTGTTGTCCTGTTGCATCTGTTGTTACTTTCACTTTCAGCAAAGCAGCTGAACTGGCTTTGCAGTGGTTTATGTTTCCTAAGTGAACAGACTGATCTCCCTGAGGTTTAACTGACTTTGGTTATGCCATAATAATTGAGTGTTCCTTTCTTTCTTTCTTTTTTTGGAGCTGTATTTTTTAAGGCTTTCATGAGACATCTGAACCTACCAGTCACATTTCCCAGTTATCAGTTTCGCTTTCTTTGACTCTGTCCGGCTCATAATTGTGTAACTCCATTCTGCTCAAATGCGTCACAATCTAAAGTAAACACAGGAAAAGTAAAGAGCGGCAACAATAACACAGGTTGGTTTTTTTCTGTTAAATAGTGAAGCAATATACCCTCACTGACCTCTGACCTTTGACCTCACAGGTCTGATGCGAACTGATGCCTTTAACTGTGCCCGCTGGAAACTGTGACAAAGAATTCATTTGCCATTTGCGTATATTGTTATTCTGTGTTCTGTTATCCTATAGTCTATCATAATGCTTTAATGTAAACACAGCACATGTAACCTTGGCTCTACATACTATCCCGGGTCTGTTTGTGGTAGCATTGGTTATATTTATGTCATCTGTGCAAATGTACTTAAAGCTAAATGTCACTTCATCATTAATTGATTTGAATCTTTCATTTGTTTATGAGGTTTGCTTATACTTACCATTGTGTGTTCCTTTGAGCAGGTCCTATGTGTAAAACAGGTATGTGGGAAGGGCCGCCCCAGTACTTCCTGATTTTATAGGATATGATGTCACTGATCATGTCAATGAAGGGGTGTTTATTTTGTGTAAAATTGTTTATTTCATTTAAAATAACTCATGAGTCAGATTAGGTGAAGAGTGACTTTTCAAACTGATTAGTTGGGTGAATGAGTTTGTTAAGTGGAAAAATGATTTTATTCCTGTTTCTTTGTCTAGACCGTGTTATTTAGTCTACCCTGTTTTCCCAATGGTAGAGGTTAATGAGATCCAGGTGTGCGTGGAATTTATATAAAGCAGGTGAGATTTTGACTCACAGCTTCTGACGTTTTTGTGAGATAATTGCTGAAAGGCGACGCCAGAAAATAAAGGACACTTAAAAGAAAGTTGAACTGTCTGCAGATGCTGTCTTACTATCACCTTTCATGCTGCTTATGTTATGCTACTTCACAGAAACATAAACATAAGATGAGAAAATATCTGCAAATGTGGAAGAAAAAACATTTAAAAGGATTCAGTTTGTGTGATTGAACAAACAGAGCTTCATTTCCATGATAAAAAAGCTTTTATGGATTAAGCATATGGAATCACAGGTTTACAGTTGTGATCAAAAGCTTACAAATTTAACAACTATGTCTTTCTCTACATTTTACAATCAGCCAGCGATATACTCTCCACTGTATAAAAAAGAAAGAAAAATAATACAAAACAGTCTATGTACAAGGCAAGCATGGTTTTTGGCTTTAATTCAAATCAAATCCATTTTATTTGTATAGTGCCAAATCCAAACTGTCACCTCAAGGCGCTGATAAAACTCTGTTACAGTGAGTTCGTTTGGATGAGAACATTCTGTGTGTGGGAAACACTGATCACCCTTAAAGTGAAGTATCTGTATTCTAATTTTATCTCAAATTGAATGCTATCACGTTCATTCCCTGCTGACGTGATAAGGGAAAGTAAATGGAGTTACTGAAAAAACAATACATTTAACAGGTGTGGTAGGCCTTATTAAATTACATGTAAAACAGCAATGATCCATGATAGACTTTCAGGAAAAAACTGAACTTCAAGAGGATCATAGTGAAATTACTGACGATAACGTGCTGTTCAGACAGCCGTTTTTGTTGAGCCCTGAATTTGGTACCAACTTAAACACACATTGTTATCAAATGCATTCAAAACATGAAAAAATGAAGAGTGACAAGAGCTACAGTTACCCAGGAAACACCAATGATATCTTGCCAGTCAAAACAGAGGGGTGTACTGCAAAGTGAAATTACAGTAATAGATCAGAAGGCTGCAGTATGTTGAGCTTAAAGTCTGGAGGTGAAGGTGGATCTCTGTTTACGTGGCTACATCACTGTGGTAACTTACCCTGCTCCTAACACTAATAATAACCCCTTCTTAGTACCTGATTGAACCTCCTGTGCTTTCTTTTAAGGTTTAGGATCATATTAACATGATAGCATCACATAGTCACTCCAGTTTTGTGGGCTTCACATCCACTACCAATTTCCTGTTCCACTACATCCCAAAGGTTCTCTACTGGATTGATATCTGGTGACTGTGGAGCCGATTTAAGTGCAGTGACCTCATTGTCATGTTCAAGAATCCAGGTTGAGATTATCCTGCTGGAAGCAGCGATCAGAAAATGGGTACACCGTGGTTACGAAGGGATGTGCTCACCAGCCTGAACCGATCTAAGAAAGGATGGATCCATCCTTTCATATTTATACCAAATTTTGTCCCTACCATCCAAACGTGGCAGCAGAAATCGAGATTCATCAGATCAGGCAACATTTTTCCAATCTTCTGTTGTCCACGTTTGGTGAACCCGTGTGAAATATAGCCTCAGTGTCCTGCTCTTAGCTGACAGGAGAGCCATCGGGTATGGTCTTCTTCTGCTGCAGTAGCCCATCTGCACCAAAAACAGACAGATGTTGACATTGTTTCCACATACAGTAGTGGTCTCTGCTTCCCATGTCAATAATCAGCTCAGTCTCTGAATCAGTTAGCTCAGTGGGGCTTCAAAGTGAGAGGTCAGGGATTTGAGCTGCCGTTATTTGGTTTTATTTTTTATTTTTTCAGCTTTGTTTTCGTTAAAAAAAAAACATAAATAGATTTTTAAACAAAAACTTTCCCTTGCATATTTCCTGAATCTTTTCTTGGACAGTGAGTCTTAACTTACAATATTAATGAGCTGAACAGCCTGTGAGATGACCGAACTGAAAAGCAGGAATAAATATGCTTACCTATAAGCATATTTGCAACATAATTTGCAACATCTACTACGTCACAGTAGCAACCAACAGAGCTGAAAAACTGCACCAAAAACTGCAGTTCCTCTACTGGCCACGTGAGGCTGGCTCCACATCCCCATAGCCTGCCATGCTAAAATGCCCAACTTCACGGCACATATAAGCATGTTTACAGCCTGATATGAACAACACGTTTGGTCTCTATAATTAATTTCTTCCTTCATATCAACTGTACAACTGTAGATAACTCAGCCATGTAAATATAGGTACGGCTTTTTTATTATGAGGTGGATTCTTTTTTTACTTAGCACTAATCAGCAGGTATGGATGAACCTTATTAACCAAACATACTCTGCATATCAGTTAAAAAAAGAAAAGCTTATATGAAAGGAAGAACTAGATCAGCCCTACAAAACTAAACATAAAATATGAATATTTCTGTATACATCTACCTTCAGGTATATAAACTGTATGGTTACTTTCTCCAATATGGATTTAGCATTTTTATGTAAGTCTTAATTTGTGCATTAACTATTTGAAAACTATTTTTTCAAGTCAGTTAGTCATTCTTTGGATGTGGAGAATAATTATAAAAATGAATTTGTTGTTCTGGAAACATTATAGGAGGCACTGTTTCATCCGTTATGTGTTTAAAAATGTTAAAGATCATTGTGAAATCTCACGCCGATGTGGAAAAAAAATATATATATATCTCCGGGAGGTTTGACGGTCCAAAACGAAGTCTTTCACCTCAAAAACGTTTGCAAGCCACAAGTTCAGTCCCTGCAGCATCAGGCGATATGTCTATAAAAGCGAGGTTAAGTATAATTCCTCCACACTGACCGAACATGAGCGCCCGTTCTCAAAGTCTTTAACAAAACAGGCTGTTTGTGTCGTAGATCACAGCCCGGTGATCTCAGTCTGCAGGATGGATTGGGCTCGGGAGTTTCTAGAACACTGGGTCGAGCTTTCTGTACCATTTTGGTTCACGCTGTGGAGCCTGAAGTCCTGTCCCACGCAGCGCTTTACAGAAAAACACTTCCATGTCCTCCTCAGCTCACTCTGAACCTTTATGTGCAAAAAAAAGAAGAAGTAGAATTATATTAAATATATTATATATTAAAAAATCTTGTAAATTATGTTACGAAGAACACATGCATAGGCTCACCTCACTGTTGAGGAAACAGTAGAGAACCGCTACAATTAGACCCTAAAAGGAAACAAATACCACCATAACAGATCAGTGCCAACGTGTCAGAAACAAGGCTATATTAATACTAAAGGATGCTGCCTTTAAGGGTCACCACCTATCCCGAGCATCC